GTAAATCCCTCCAAGAAATGGAAGTGGGGTGCTATATAATATGTCGGATGCGCATTATACCATTAGTCTGTCCTACATCTTTACTTGCTCACGCAAACTAGAGCCTTGAGTGCTAGTCATCATGGAGTGTGTCAACTTGGAAGTTGTCGCTTAAAGTTGAAAATGATTGATTACAAATAGTCTGTAGTGGATCTGCTCATACTAAACTTGATTGTTGGCATATGATATGCATAAATAACTTTGAGTATTCAATCTCTCCTGCATGTTGGATTTGAGCATCAGTTGTTTTCATAGCCTCCGTATCTTATTGGAAATACTGAGGTAGTTAAGTTGTACTAGAGCATCTTGCATACCCTATGAAGAATTCTGGGCCAAGCTTGTTCATCAGACTCCAGATATCCGGATGTTGAGATTAGTTCAGATGAGATTGCAGTTTGCTCTGAGATCTTGTTCTCTGCTATCTGCAAATGCAGTGGTGCAAGATAACAAGGAATTCAGACCACTCTTCTGCCACAACACAAAATAAAAGTTCAAATGCAATAGTTGTTGACGGGACTGTAATCCAAGCTGAAGACACTATTCTTATCAGATGCGGAAGTGAAATTCCTTCAGGTCCCGATAAGGAAGAATATTTGAGCTACAGGTTCAATGTATTGCCTGGTCCTGAAACTTGTCAGAAGCAGTTAAAGATTTCTACAGATGTCGAGCATGCAAAATGCTGCATTTGCTTGAATATATGGCATGATGTTGTTACCATTGCTCCTTGCTTCCATAATTTCGGCAACGGATGCTTCTCTGAGTGGTTAAAGAGATCACAGGAGAAACGTTCAAGTGTACTCTGTTCCCAATGTCGTGCAGTTTTGCAGTTTGTTGGAAGAAATCACTTCCTGCTTAACGTTGCGGGGGAAATACTAAAAGCAGATTCTTCACTAAAACGCTCCAACAACGAAGTGGCAACTTTAGACTCTTATGCAACGTTGAAAAGTTAAAGCTCGTTCTTTAGGATTGGAAAATTTTGAATTAACTCGGTGACTCCCTTGGCACAGACGAGAATTGTCCGTCCATTTCATCAGCAGAGTTTTGCATATTTTGAAGCTTCTGAGAGATGACACAAGTCCAAGAGGAATAAGTTGAGAGAACGAAGTACTTTCAGGTTTGTATGGGACATCAACCCGTGTAAAATTTGTTATTACGTGAATATTATTAACATTTGAAACATGTTTATTATTTAAAATTCACACTGCCATATCGTATTTATTTGAATCAGTATTTAATCTTACACCCAACTTTAATGAAAAATAGATCTTACTAGCAAAGGTGCCCGCGCGATGCTGCGGGTTTTAAAACTGTATAAAATACATAGAAAGTTATAATATGTATATACACTATTTACATATACATGGGACTCTATTTAGAACCGTAAAAAAAGGTTTCAACTTCCACATAACAAAAATAGTTGGCACAAATCTTACTAAGAATTCTAATATATATGAAGGGGTCATGTAGATGACATTTTATTAAGCATAAACTGAGCAACACAAACTGTACAATTGATATTCACATCAATCAGCTATACCAGGATCACTAATCAAGCAAGAGTCGATGTAAAAAGTTTTGCTTACGTGCACAGTTTTTATCTGTTGGAAGGGTGCAAGTGCTTTTCAGCAAGACATAAAAATTTATCTAGTGAAGAGGCATAATGTAATGGTTATGAGTGGCAAGAAGAATTTCAGCATAACTAAATGTGGTCAAAGTTCAAAGAACTTTAAAAATGAGATCGCGATTGCAATAACATATAAATAGAGAATTGTAAAGAAGCAGATACCAGTTTTTTACATTAGATTTTGAATGTTGATCCAAAGTTCATAGTGAAACGGATGATGAACAACTCTATTGTTCCTCGTATTTTAACCAAACAAAAACTGTTTTGTCATTAAATAAAAACCAGAAATTTGTGTTTTCAAAGCTACAACATCACTGAAAACAACATGGGACAAAAATTGAAAAAAACGAATCGAAAATTAATGTAAGCAAAAAAAAAAGAAATAGAAACTTAAAATAAACATTCTGAACTGGTGATGTAGTACTTTGTGAAAATAGATAAATACAAAAATTATAGATCTTGGTTTATACATTTGTTGCATAAATTTGAACTAACAAATGAACTTCTAAGTTATCAGAAGCGTTTAAATTGGAAATAATAGATTCATAGCAGTTTGTCCAATTATATTCAATACCACTAAAGCATACTATGGGACCATGTTACAGGGAACAAAGAAAGAGGAAAGTGAAAAATGAAAGATGCTGGAAGCATCTTCCCACACAAAACGCACGCACGGGAACAAAAATGAGAGAGGGGCAAAGTGGCCAATTCATCATACAAACCCACTAAAGCCTAAAACACATGAAGAGAATAAGGGGTAAAACCACGTAATTTCACTGTGCCGAACACAAAAAACAACGGGTCATGGTGATCAAAAGAGGGGCATTTCGGTCAAATCACTGTTAATGAACAGTGATCAGCAACTGAGTTTTAGTATATATAATTTAGGGATTATAATCAAGTTTCCTAAATATATAATTATTTGTTCTTTTTTAAAGGTTCCTGGGTCATTTGTGAATATATTCAAGGGATGGCGAAAGTTGGAGAGAACTCATGTGCAAAACCCTGTGAAGAATTCTGGGCCAAGCTTGTTCCATCAGACTCGAGATATCCGGATGTTGAGATTAGTTCATATGAGATTGTAGTTTGCCCAGAGATCTTGTTCTCTTCTATTCGCAAATGCAAGTGGTGCAAGATAACAAGGAATTCAGACCACTCTTCTGCCACAATACAAAATAAAAGTTCAAATGGAATAGTTGTTGACGGGACCTTAATCCAAGCTGAAGACACTGTTGTTATCAGATGTGGAAGTGAAATTATTTCATCAGGTCCCGATAAGGAAGGGTATTTGAGCTACAGGCTCAATGTATTGCCTGGTCCTGAAACTTGTCAGAAGCAGTTAAAGATTTCTATGGATGTCCAGCTTGCAAAATGCTGCATTTGCTTGAACATATGGATGCATAGGTTGTTGAAAGAAATCGCTTCCTGCTTAATGTTGCGGAGGAAATACTAAAAGCGGATTCTTCACTAAAACGCTCCAATGATGAAGTTGAAATTTTAGACTGTCGTAAACTCTAGAAAACATCTTTGCGGGAATAAGGGCGTCAGGTGGATGAACAAGTTAATAATCCATTGTATCCATGCCTTCAATGTGGTACTGAATATGGTGGGTTTCGCGGCAGCCAAACCACTATCCATCTGCAATGTTAAGCATGCGGAGGAATGATGCCTTCACTCGCTAATAACAAGGTACCTCAACACTGTTTAGGATGTGACAAGACATTTTGTGGTATATATTGGCATCCACAAGGGATTGCACAAATTGATTCTCACCAAATGTGCAATTGCGAGACTTTTAACCAATCTCAGAACGCACCATCTCTAGAATCCCTACTTCAGCGCATGAAAACAATCGACATGAACAAGTTATCATTGAGAAGTGTTTTGCACAGTTGGGAGAACATTGGAGGATGTTATTGCAGAATGGCTTGCAAAGTTGAACAACAGAGAAATTGATCGAACGAGGATGCCCCTGAATCATGCTAAGACAAAAACTTCCGGGACACCTACGTGTAATTACTGTTATGAGAAGCTGATCTCCTTCCTCTCGTACTGGTCTCGGATTTCGATTCCCAAATATCATATATCGCCAGAGGCATCGAACAGGGAAAATTGCTGTTATGGATACGCATGCCGGACACAACACCATAATGAAGAACGTGCTTGTAAAAGAAATCATGTGTGCCGGCCAACCAGGGGTACTAATATGTAGATTTTCTTTCTCTTGTTTCGTCTGTTTTGAGAATTTGAAATTCATTACCAGCTTCTCTTCTCTGGAACTACTGAGACTTTCTGGCAGCCAAAATTTATGTTTAAGAGTTGTTTACTTTTATTTGCTCATACTTTTGTAGCTCTATGCAACCCTGAGGGCGTGATGAAATGGTAATCATTTGATAAGACATGATTAATAGATAAGATCATCTTGCAATACTAATTAAATAAGTTGCCACTTAATACTACGGTGTATTTGTATTCCTGTTCACTTATAAGTGAAAAGTTTTAGGTTTGATTCTTGCCAAAAATCAAATTTGAACCATATTATTGTTAGTGTGTAAATTGTGATTTGATGTGGCAATTGTAATTCTAGCTCATATTGCTAGGATGATTAGCTAACAGTTAATTTGGTTGTATGCTTTCTTATTTAAGTCTCATAGGTCTTAAGTAAGTAGATATGTGTCTTCATCTCTAGGGTGTAAGATGGAAGGCTAGGATTGCGTTGATGTAATTTGAATATTGCCAAAAGTGTATAACGGTTAGAATGAGAGTGATATTCCCTCACTTTCTCTAGCGAATGTCATGGTGAATGTGTGAATGAAAAAACACAAGTCATATTCTCTGTTGCTCTCTTCTCTCTATCATCATCTTTCCATTTTTGTACTATAATTTCTTCTATTTTACAGAGAAGATCTGTGTAGTCATAGCTCACAATGCATCATTCCTTCGAACTCTAACAATTATTGCTAGCTTATTGTGGAGCTAAACTCATCTTTATCTAGGTATCATTAGGATATTTGGATTGGGCCGTGTCGCTTAAACTAAAAGTTTATTAATATCTATCCTTCAACTTATCACAATGTGGAGTAATGATTCTTTTGGGTTAATATGTTACAACTTTAGCCTCTTATTCGCCCTTTAAGATCCTTTATTTTGGACAAAAGTTTTAACAGTATTGTTTACTTCTTGTTGTAGTCTAGCGTAATGAGTTCAAGGACTACTATTCACATATTTTAGTTTAGATATCAAAACTCTACTTGGATGAAAATCTGAAGACCAGTACTCTAATTTTTTTTCAAAATAAAACATATAAGTGCAATTAAAAGAAAATAGATATATCAAGTAGGTTAAAATATAAGAATTGTTATTAGCACTCCAAAAATCTCATTCTACATTCTAAACTTTCTGTATTAGGAAAGAAAACTACAGTTGTGAGAAGCATAGAATGAGATTTTTGGAGTGCCAATAACACTTCCCTAAAATATTATGTGACGTCAGGCTGCAAAAGCCTAATTGAGATGCTAATAGCCTAATATAGATAATTTAGTCTTCTTTGTCTGACAGTGACTTCAATTTCTTACATCCACTGAAAAATATATCGGTCAAGTTGGGCGCGTACAGCCTTCCACCGTCCTGGAAACCCACAAAATTTGGGCATCCGGATATATTCATATGGAGAAGCGATTCGAGTTGAGATTCTTGCGGAAACCATTCAAATTCCGGACAATCACAAATACTCATAAACTGAAGAGATGGGAGAGAGATTTGCATCACTTCTGGCACTGACCACATGTTTTTGGACCTGGACATAGATATCCCCTTCAAGTTGGGCGCAATCAGCACTCCCCACCCACAAAACATACCTGGACATAGATCTCCTTCAAGTCGCGAGACTTTTAAACCAATCTCAGAACGGACCATCTCTGGAATCCCTACTTCAGCTCGTGAAAACAATCGACATGAATAAGTTATCACTGAGAACCGTATCGCACAGTTGGGGAGAACATTGCAGGATGTTATTGCAGAATGGCTTACAAAGTTGAACAACAGAGAAATTGATCGAATGAGGATGCCCCTCAATCATTCCGAGGCAATAACTTCTGGGACACCTACGTGCAATTACTGTTATGAGAAGCTGATCTCCTTCCTCTCGTACTGGTTTCGGATTTCGATTCCCAAATATCATCTACCCACAGAGGCATCAAACAGGGAAAATTGCTGGTATGGATATGCATGTCGAACACAGCGCCATAATGAAGAACATGCTCGTAAAAGAAATCATGTGTGCCGGCCAACTAGTGGTGCTTATATGTAGATCTTCTTTCTCTTGTTTACTCTGTTTTGAGAATTCGAAATTTATTACAAGCTTATCTTCTCTGGTACTACTGAGATTTTCTGGCAGCCAACATTTATGCATAAGAGTTGTTTACTTTTGTTTGCTCACAATTTTCGCGTACGTATCATTGCGCAACTCCAAACCTACACATGCACAGCAACTTGAAAACTTTTGTAGCTCTGTGCATCCCTAAGGGAATGATGAAATGATGATCATTTGATAAGACATGATTAATAGATAAGATCATCTTGCAATACTAATTAAACAAGTTGAATTTAGACAGGTTGAGATCGATTAGTAAACAACAGAGGGTTTTCAATACTCTGGTCTTACAACATTCATGCATGATCATAGATTCACAGTTCCACAGAAACGAAATCTTCATCCATATTTTACAAACCAAACGTTTGAATTCGAATTCCACAAAGTACCAAAATCTACCTCTCTATAGACATAATTTGGAAACAAACTTGAAAAAGGAAATTCAGAAACTAGAGCTCATAAACTTGTTGAACCACCGTAAGACACAATAAGAAAAGAGGAACAATTCCACTCCATTTAACCCATCAGTTTCAAGCCTTCTGAGAGATGGTAGCTGTGCCAATGCTGGCATTGAAAAACAATGTTCACAATCCACAAGTCGAAGAGTAACAAGATGAGAGAACGAACAAGTCATCTCCTAACCAATTTGGAATTTTTGTAGCTCCGTATCTTTCTATCGCAAATTATTTCAAGTTTATATTTAACATTTGAAACATGTTTATGATTTAACATTTACCTGTAAAATTTGTTATTATGTGAACATTAACATTTAAAACATGTTTATGATTTAAAATTTACACAGCCAAATCGTAAATAAACACATAAATGACCGTTGACGAATTACGTACCATTACAAATCATATCTCTCAGTCATATTGATCAATCAATATTTCGGGGATGTGAGAAATCTTGGGCCAATCTTCTCCTGTGTTTCTGTGGCACCGTTGTGATAGCAAATCACACTTGTAGATTCGTAGACGAGAAAGAGAAGTGGGTAGCCCTTCATCTGGCAAGCTCTGGAGTCGAGGACAAAAAAAAATCTCCAACTTCTCGAGAGAGATGAGGTGTCTTAGCGCCTTGCCGTCAATGGTTTTCAGATTCGGATGATGGAGGATTCCGAGAGAAGTGAGAGTGGTTGGCAGCAGCCCCTCTTCTGGAAATGATTCGCCAATTTCTTCTTCTTCACATTCTGAGAAGCCGACATCCAAGTGTTCGAGAGAGGTGAGTGTTTGTAGACCCCACCGCATACGGTTTGCCATCGGTTTTTTACATTTCCAGATACTGAGTGAACGCAATTTAGACGGCAATCCCCCTTCCGGAAATGATTCCAATTCTGGACAGTCCCATATACTCAAACACGAGAGAGATGGGAGAGAGATTTGCATCTCCTCTGGCAGTGACCTGAATTCTGGGCACTTCTTTATATACAATTTATCGAGGGATAAGAATTTAGATTCTTCCGGAAATGATTTAAATTCTTTACACCCTTCTATGGACAGAGACTGAAGAGACGGGAGAGAGGCGTGCATCTCCTCTGGCAGTGACCTGAATTTGTTACATTCTTCGATTCGCATCGTCTTCAAGTTGGGCGCTTGCAGTCCTCCTCCATGGGGGAAACCCACAAATTCTGGGCACTCCTTTATCTCCAAATAATCGAGGGATGGGAATTTAGATTCTTCCGGAAATGATTTAAATTCTTTACACCCTTCTATGGACAGAGACTGAAGAGACGGGAGAGAGGCGTGCATCTCCTCTGGCAGTGACCTGAATTCGTTACATTCTTTAATTTCCATCGTCTCCAAGTTGGGCGCTTGCAGTCCTCCTCCATAGAGGAAACCCACAAATTCTGGGCATCCCTTTATCTTCAAAACAACGAGGGATGGGAATTTAGATTCTTCCGGAAATGATTTAAATTCTTTACACCCTTCTATGGACAGAGACTGAAGAGACGGGAGAGAGGCGTGCATATCTTCTGGCACTGACCACAAGTTTTTAAAACGGCACATAGATATCTCCTTCAAGTTGGGCGCAAGCAGCACTCCACCACCCACAAAACATACCAGATTCAGGCAATCTGATATTCTCAAGTCACGGAGGGATGGGAGTTCAATATTGAATTTATTGCATTCTTGCGAACAAGCAAGGGATTCGATATTAACATTCTGCAAAATTAGCCGCTCAAGTCTTGGGAAGTAGTGTAACGGTAATTTCCCCGTTAGTTTGGGACAGTTCTCCAGACAAAGCTCGCAAAGATTAGGAAAATGTCCGCCTTCTTCTTCTTCACCTCCAGGGAAATACCACTCTTGCCATTCCGGCATACTGCGGAAACTCAGAAACTCCAGAGATTTTAATGCAGGCCCATAAAACTCAGACCCCACTAATTCCACTCCATTCAACCCATCAATTTCAAGCCTTTTGAGGGAGGTTAGCTGCCCCAATGCTGGCAGGGAGAAACAATATCCACAATTCTCAAGTCGGAGAGTGATGAGATTAGAGAAAGACTCATCTCCTAACCAACCTGGAAACTTTGTACCTCCGTATCCCTTTATAGCCAGTACCTTTAGGTTTGTATTGGGCTGCAGGTTGCCCAGCACTCGGCTATCGTTTTGAGAATCAGCAGTGTCACCTTCCCATTTCAAATGTATTTCACTGAGCTTCTTGTCCCTCAGTTTGGCCTCCAAAGCATCCTCAGCATGTCTGATATTTTGAAGCCCTGAAATATGAAGATTTCCACTCAAATGCTGAAACCCCTTTAACTCATCAATGTTTCCCCCAGCATCTTTGCTCAAGACAAACTCACCTCCAATTGTTTGGAGATCCTTCAACTTGCCCATGTGGGGGGGCATCTTTTTTATTTTCGTATCTCTGAAATCAAGATGACGCAAGTTGGTAAGTCTTCTCAAATCAGTGGGCAACTCAACAAGATGGCGACAATTCGACAACAATAACGTTTGTAAATTACACAAACTGCATACCGTGTCAGGTAATTCCCGGATTAGAGTGTTACACAAGTCGAGGTACCGTAGATGCTTCAAGTTGCCAATCAAATCAGGCAACTCCGTGATATCATGCACACGTAGTTTGAGAACTCTTAAACATTGTAGCATTAAAAGGAGATCAAGTCGTACTGGCGGCCGAAAATAGCTTCTGCCAAGAATGAAGGTGCGCAGATACTTAGCTTCATAAACAGTGTCAAATCTCTCATAATCAACATTAGATGAATATTGCAAATAAGAAAAATGACGGCCCTTGTTCACAACGTCCAATGAGAAGTCATGGTCTTCCAATCTAATGCAAAATTCCCCACATACGTAAGTCGCCAAATCATGCATCAGATCATGCATGATGAAACAATCATTTGAAGACGAGTATTGAAAAAATGACCGTGAGATTAGATCATCAAAGTATTTCTTTCCAACATCTTCCAACCTAGTCTTCTTTTGAGGTTGTAAAAGATCTTCAGCCATCCACAACAAAATTAATTCATACTTGTTAAATTTATAATCTTTGGGAAATATGGAACAATAAGCAAAACAACGCTTCAGCTCCGAAGACAAGTACTGGTAGCTTAACCATAGAGCCGGCAAAATGTCAATCTTTGCATCTGACAACTCCCATATGTCACTTTTTAGCACATTTTCCCATTCCTCCACATTTGATTCAGAGCGTAAGAGACCACCGAGAGATTTTGCAGCTAAAGGAAGGCCTTTGCACTTGCAAACAATTTGTCTTCCAATTTCCTCAAGATTTGGATCTATAATAACACTTGCATCTTTGAAGGCATGTTTTGCAAATAAAGACCAACAGTCTTCCTCAAGTAAGTGCTCTAAATAGTAGGTTTGAAGAGTACCCATCGTAGATGCAACACCATCATTCCGTGCGGTGACAATGATCTTACTTCCATGATCTCCAGACTCAAAGGGGCGTTTTAAGGAATCCCAAATATTGTAATTCTCGTTCCAAACATCATCAAGAACAAAAAGAAACTTCTTCCCCGCCAAAGCACCTTTGAGTTTGACTTGAAGCTGGTTTAGGTCTGTGGTATCACAGGTTTGTGAAGTGACCGAGGCATAAATTGTTTGTGTGATCTTAACAACGTCAAACTCATCAGAAACACAAACCCATGCTTGGAGCTCAAAATGCTGCTTCACTCTATCATCATTGTATAAGAGCTGAGCAAGGGTGGTCTTTCCGATCCCACCCATGCCCACAATGGGAATAATGCCAATCTTACTACAAGTGACATCATTTGATAGCAACAATTGAATGATGGTTTCCCTCTCATGATCTCTTCCATACACATCAGAGCCTTCTACTAAAGAAGTTGAAAGCAATGTTTGTGAGATTTTGTGTCTACTACCTCTTTTCAAATCAAGGGCATCTTTTTGTTCTACAATGAAGCTTAGCCTCTCAAGAATTTCCTCTATCTTGCTGTCTACAGACTCATCAAAAGCATGAAAAGAAGCAGAGATGAGGTCTTGTACCTTGCTTGTGCTACTTCCAAATTCAGCTTCAATTTTTCGCCTCAACGCTTCTGTCTTGATCTCGTCCAGTAGGTCCTCAGCATCAAGGACTGCCTCTTTAAGCTCGTGCAGCCACAGCCTCACATGTGGGTTACGTAATTGCTTTTGCTCGGCATCATCATAAACCGCACTGACAGAATTCAACTTGATCCTCAACTTCTTCAGCAACCCATTAGTCAGTTTCTTTCCTCTGATGAAGTTCCTGACCTCCTGAGAATCCAATTTCACAAATACTTGCTGGAAGAAACCCGAGAGAGCGGCTCCACCTACCACCGCCAGCGCCATGATCGATCTCTTCTTTGCAAATGGAAATTTGGTGACACAGTTGAGAGAATGTATCACAACTAATCAAAGACGCGGAAGAATCTGGTCTTCACCGTGCAGACTTAAAAGGTGATGACTTCTGTAGAAATAAAAGCGCATTACAAATCTACAACACATCAGAACCACTCGTTCTTATAAAGTTAAAATCCTTACGTCGTTGGTTTTTTTTTTTTTTTTTTTGCTTTTTGGATTTTACTTGTCAATATTCCACCGCGGTGTTGGTCGGCAGGAGCTCTTGAATGCTGCGGGCCCAGTCCAGATATCTGTTCACATTGTTTTTTTGCTTTTTGGATTTTACTTGTCAATAATCCACCGCGGTGTTGGTCGGCAGGAGCTCTTGAATGCTGCGGGCCCAGTCCAGATATCTGTTCACATTCGCCTTGGCAATGAAGATAAGGCTGTGCCATTTGAACTTCAAAGATTTATCAAGGACTCATCTGGTCTTGCAACATTAATTCTTCTTTTTTAGTATTTGAAAATTTGTCTTTTTTTTATTTTTTTAGAAAAACTAATGAAAAAAGTTTGAAAATTTTGAGTTTTAATAATAAAAATAAAATAAAGGATAAAGTAAATAGTAAATAGTAACAGGATTGACCTTTTAGTATAAAAATGTGGTTTTTCGTTAAAAGTACTGCGGGTTTTTCGTTAAAACTATTTTTTTTTTCTTTGTCAAAATTAACTCATATTTTATTCAACATCACTGTGCTGCAACAATTTCCTAGTAGTGATGGGGGAGGAGGATTCTCTACCCTCCTAATCTCTCCACCCTTCTATGCCCTCCTATTTGAACAGTTACACTTAAATCACGTCAACATCTTATATTGATTTTTTTATAGAGATAATAAAATAAAAGATGATGTGTGAGAGGAAGAAATGAAAGAGGATGAGAATAGAAGGATAGCGAATCTTCCTAGGACGCAGATTTGTTTTTTTTTTAAAAAAATCCACAAGATTTGGTTTGTTAGTTCCATGGTTATGCTTCATCTCTAGAATACCCGTGGCCAAGGTAGCTCTTTTCTTAGCAAATTAAGATTTTTTTTTTTTTCCTCATCTCATTCAAGCAAACTAAGTTGTTTAAATACAAGTAGATAGCTCATTTCTGGCTTGTCAAAACTGTTATGACAGCCCACATTATGCTAGCTGCACCTTTTTTTATAGCGTTTTTGTAACGTTATTGAAAACTATTCTATCATAGCGTTTTAGAAATGCTATTATAGATGAAAAGATAACATTTCTGACTTGCTATCATATCTACATTAGATAGCATTTCTTTAGTGCTATTATTTGTTTTTGATAGCGTTTATAATGTGTTATTATCTGTTTTTTGATAAAGTCGTTGCAGATAAAGAAAATAGTCAGAAAAATATATCGATTGTATTCTATGAATGTAACAAACATAAAGATTTACGAAAATTAAGAAACAAGCATTGGACTCATTCCACCTAAACATTGAATACGCATAAAACTTGAAATGAAAAGGTTAGGCCGAATCTACTAATACTATTACACTAATGCACATTACTACTCCCCATCACCATCAAGTCTCTCCTTCTTGAAGCTTCTTTCTCTCAAATCCCCTTCGTTTCCCTGAATTTCCACAAAGAAAAAACCAAAATTCTAGAAGTTCAACAACCATGAGAATGAGACTTATTACATTATTATTGAAACTATTCACTTTTATAAAAGAAAATTGGAGTATTGGTCTTGAATTGTGACTATATTGTTGTTTTGGTCCTTGAATTAGAAGTCCAGTGAAATTGACAACTAAATTTGACAAAGAGAATTGTTATTAACACTTCAAAAGTCTCATTTTGCACTCCAAACTTTTTATAATTAGTAAGAAAATTACACTTGAGAGGAATGTATTATGAGAATTTTGGAATGCTAATAACAGTTCATTTGGCAAAATATAGAACATCAGTTTTATTGCCAACTTGCATGTAAAAATTAAGCACTTTAAATGATATTCTACCTTAGCGGGTATATGATGTTCTACTCTAAGGGAAGAGAAGATTGAGCTAAGCCACACAACGTGTCAACATTAATTAGGCATTGAACTCAACAAATATATAACGTCTTCGTCATCTCTGTCTGAAACCTCTCACTTACAAGTCAACAAAAATATCTCTAAACTGTAATAGTAGTCGTAACTCATATACCAACTTTAAAGAACTGTTAATTTCATGAATCAAACCTTATATTGTGTTACAAGGGGTCAATGCTCTCATTTACTCTTATCTTCACGTGTACAGTGTACTCACAATAAAATTCATTTATGCATTAATGTGTGTCAAAACCTTACATTACTAAAAAAAAGGATTTAGATTATGAGTGAAAGTAATCGATCATTCTAGTAATTAGATCTTCATCTTTAACTCATTGTATTCCTGATTTAAACAATACCCCTTTGATTCATTTATTGTAGATTAGTGATCTTGTAACATGTGAACTTTCTAGTAGCACACATAATAACACGTACACAGCTTCAAAGCCACCTAAGCAGATTGAATCGCGATCACAAGGGGACATAACAGCGTTTGATATCAACCGGCCGTCTCGATTAGCGAAATTAAACAAGCAAAATACCGGTTTCTGTTTCCGGACAGAAAAACATAATACCTTTCTCTCCTTCCGCGGTCTCACTTCCGACCAAAACCTCAACTCCGCCCACACAAACCCACCTCAAGCGCCGCCCAAGCAAAAAAAATGGAGGGCCTGTGGCGGGCGGCTACGGGCCAAGACCCGAGCCCGGAAGATTACACCGGAATCGAGTTCTGGTCCAACCCTGAACGCGCCACTTGGCTGACCAAACAAGGCGAGTACATCAAGACGTGGCGGCGCCGCTGGTTCGTCTTGAAACAGGGGAAGCTGTTCTGGTTCAAGGACAGTTACGTGACCCGTTCGTCGACGCCGCGCGGCGTGATCCCGGTCGGCACTTGCCTGACGGTTAAGGGCGCCGAGGACGTGGTGCACAAGCCCTGCGCCTTCGAGCTCTCCACCACTAATCATGATACGATGTACTTCATCGCCGATTCGGAGAAGGAGAAGGAGGAGTGGATCAACTCGATCGGACGGTCCATCGTCCAGCACTCCAGATCGCTCGCGGATTCCGAGGTCGTCGATTACGATAGTAGCCGACAGTGATCATAAACTCTCGATTTTCATGGTACAGTAATAATATGACTATAATTTGTGTTTTTTTTCCCGTAAATTTGATGTAATAGTTGTCGTGTTTGATAAAAAATCGGAGCTTTTCTTGTTTTCTTGCTGTCGAATTTGGACAATGTATGCTGAATTTTGTTTCTCTGTTGCCTTTTTTCGTAATGTAGATGATATTTTGTGTGATTGAGAGGGCAATTCTTTTAATTTTTGTGAAAAGGTTTGAACTTTGATGTTGTAATTTGTGAAAATCGAGTCTTGATTCTGTGTTAGCTGTGTTCACTTATTGGTGCTGGTAGAATTTGCATTCTTGGAGTGAATACAGTTGCATTTTCCATGAAACTGGATGCTTTACAAGTGTTTTTTTGATCAAGATTGTCGGTATGGTTTTTGAATTTCTGTGCTTCAGTCAAGGAATTTCGATGTCTTGGAGTTGAATCAACCTTATTAGTCGTGTTGTCTTCGTGTTTGTAATTGTACAACCACTTTTGAGAAGTTTTGTGTTGCTGTGTGAACTTTGTAAAGGTGTTAAAAGAGCTCGTCTGGTTGGTTGCTCAAGGGTTGTATGGTTTAGTGAATTTGGAGGAAGATAGGTCGGGAAATCAACTGTGTTGGATCGAAGTTGCCATGAAAATGTTATTTCGTTCACTCCATAAAAATCCTCATCGACAAAACTATTTTAATCCTCATTTTAAACTTAATCATCCAAATCCAAGTGTAAGAAGTTTGTTTGTTAATATTGAGTTGAGTCTGTTTGCATCTCTATTAAAGCATGGTGTAGCCGTATGCAGGATATACCGCATTTGTTTGTTTGCATCATGTAACCCAAACATGTGTCAGTTTTTCTTCAATCTAGTTCAAACCGCAGATGATTAAGTTTCAACAGTGTCATTACTAGCAAATAACTGCATATAAACGTGATTTTGGAGTATGTTTACAACCAAGGTGCTTAGCTAAAAATGTTAACAGTAAGATTGAAACTTCGTTTGCATAGGGTTTTAGTTGCAGAGGTGTGGGGGAGACTGTCGACTTGGTTCAATTATGTAGTGAGCTGTAAAAAGACGGCTTTTCTAGCCACAGGAAGAAACTCCTGTAGAACGAGTGCTGCGATCGCCTCTCATAGGAATGGGTTAGGACCTAACCTACAAACTTCGGCCTCCAACTCAACAAAATTCTAGGTCATTCAGTAAATCCCGTACTTCGATTCTTGCCGTGAGTCGCTAACCAATCCAAACCAGCAATCTGGTTCACCCGAAACGAACTAAACCAATTTTATTTGTTTGGTTACAGTTTGGGAAAATCATTACTGAGGTAGTAGGCTTCGTTTCGTTTCTTGTTTGGGGTGATCACTAGGTTTGATTTGGTGGAGTGAGGCTATCGTTGATTTGATAGCTAAAAATGAGAAAATGATAAACTGAAGTTCTTGGTCTGCAAGAAATGATGTCAATTTGATAAACTGGAAGCTTCTTGATATATGTTTCTCATATGGTTCCAATCTATCCTTGTACTCAAAAACTTTCAACCTAGGCATAGTATTTAACTCAAGTTTTTTCTCAACCGTCTATTCAGTAAGCAATCTTAGTCAGCTACTTTCATTTGCAAGATTTAAATTCAAAACCTACTCGAACAAAGTCAGGACTTGATGTCACGCACAAACTCCAAAAACCCTCTTCTCGAACAACAAGTTTCGTTTGATTTATCATTGTAGAACGAAAACATATAAATTACTAGCCGATAAATTCATAAACAGAATACAAGAACATGGAAAAATTTGTACATTCATGAGTTCTTATACTTACAAAATTAGCAACCCATACTACTTAAAACCCAAATTCTCACCACTCACATCCTCAATAAATTTCCCAACAGAAGCAAATGAAGACCCCCCATCCTCCACAGCTTTTCTAGCCATCTTTCCCATCTCTTCCACCTTCTTCCTCACCTCACTATCCTTCTCCATCACACCAACCACAACCCTCTCAATCTCGTCCGCCCCCACCATGTCAGCGCTGCCTGTCTTGTAATGCAGCCTCATCTCCAACGCCATCCCCAACTCCCTCACCATCCTAAAAGCATTGAGCTGCTGCTCTGCATACATGGGCCATGTCGCAATAGGGACGCCATGCCACAAGCTCTCCAAGATCGAGTTCCACCCACAGTGAGATAAGAACCCTCCGGTCGCACTGTGGGCCAGGACCTCCACCTGTGGGGCCCACCCACATATCAACCCTTTCTTCCCATTGGTCCTCTCCAAGAACCCATCTGGCAAAACTTCTTCAAGATTTGAGCAATCACTTGGGACTGTGCCTTTGGGTGACGGCATGCGCAGGGACCATAAAAACCTCTGCTCACTTTGTTCAAGCCCTAAAGCTATTTCCTTCACTTGCTCTACCCTAAAGCTTCCCAAGCTACCAAAACACAAAAACACAACAGATTTCTGAGGCTGGTCATCAAGCCATTTGATGATCTTGTCGCGCTGTGCCTGGTGTAGGTTGGAATGTGCCTGATCGTCATTCAGGTCGATCACTGGCCCAACTGGGTACACTGGGGGAATTCGGGTGTCATTGGAAAACAATGTGATAGCATGTGTCTCTAACTCTACAAATGTGTTTGCTACAATGCCTCTAGTTTCTCTAAATCTTGAAGCCAACTTGATGTAAGCAGAGCGGCTACCGTCTTTCAAAGCCATCGGCAAAACTCTAGGAGGAACCGGGTGGACAATACCTAGTTGTCGAAAAATTTCAAAGCGTTAGAATCCAACTCCAAGAAATCAAAACTTTTCAATTGGAATGAAGTCTAAAAATTTGTTGTTACAACGTGTCTTTAAACATTGAACATTTTTGTCTTGTTTGTACTAGAAGGGTTAAAAGTCTAAAACATTCTCTCTTTTTTTTTTGGCTCAGAAACACTTTTAACATTTTCTGTTAAACGCATTCAAAAGGGCCTGTTATTGTCACAAACATACCTGGGATTAACCATTCGGGATCGGATTCTTCAACCGCAACCTGGTTTTTTTCATGAAGAATTGGAAGTTGGAGCATGAGAGCTAGATATCCTGCATTGCTTGTCATGAAAAGATAAGAAGGAAGATTGAGTTCCTTGGCCACATAAATCATGGACACACAGAAGAAATCAACCACCAAAGCAGCAACACGAATCGAATCCATACTATTAGCATTGGAGGAGACGAGGTTGGTGATGATTTTCTTGACATTGGGGACGTGACCCTCAATGTAAAGAGTGATGAATTTTTCTGGTGACTGGTACGTCTCTTGTGGAGGTTGATGATCTTGAGGTTGTTGGACATCGATGACTCGGATTCGGGGTTCTGAGGCTGCAATCGATTCTGTGTATGAACTTAGAGTGGTTCGGAGGGGTGACTGGATGGCAAGAACGGTGATCAAAATTCTGTCATCGCGATCGATCAAACGCTTTGTGAACTGCAGTGCTGATACAAGGTGACCTGCTCCTGGTGCTGGGATGAAAACTAGTTCCACTTTCTTCATCTTTCTGACTTGTTCTTTCACTCTTTCTGGTTTATACTTTCCTTCCACATCAATCACACACATAAATATAGTGATGTTCTAGTATACATCATAGTGCTTAATTTCAAATACGCATTAAAACACAATAATATACATAATCAAATAACGTGAACAGTGTGAAAAGGAGACAGAGTACAGAAATAGGATTGATTGCATGTGTATGGCTCCCCCGCAACGTTGCTCACGTACTATTACTGTCATTTTTCTCACTGACTGACCTACCTAAGGCCAAGAGTGGGCATATGCCGCCACATCGGAGAAATTATATCATTCTGCTTAATTTGATTACGCATTAATACAATAATATATATAATTGAATGACAGAAATAAACAAGGATTGATTGCATGTGTTAATATTATATGGCCCTCCCCTACGAGATATTTTTCAGAGTGACCAGCACAAGATATGGTGCATCATGTGTCACTATACAAATGGTGAGATATGTGTGTTAAAAAATTAGTAACTTAAAAAAAAAAAAAAATTCCCACCACTTATACACCACTTATATAAAAACACGTGGTGTACCACCCGTATTCCCGTCATAATGAAATTTTTCTCCTCCCCTACATTATTGCTCACTTGTGTTCCCGTTATAATGAAATTTTTTTCTCACTGACGGACCTACCTAAGGCCAAGAGTGGGCATATGCCGCCACACTGGAGAAATTATATCATACTGCTTAATTTGATTACGCATTAATACAATAATATACATAATTGAATGACATAAATAAACAAGGATTGATTGCATGTGTTAATATTATATGGCCCTCCCCTACGAGATATTTTTCAGTGTGACCAGTACAAGATGTGGTACATCACATGTCACTATACAAATGGTGCGATATGTGTGTTAAAAAATTAATAACTTAAAAAAAATAAAATTTCCCATCACTTACATAAAAACACGTGGTGTACCACCCGTGTTCCCGTCATAATAAAAGTTTTCTCCTCCCCTACATTATTGTTCACCCGTGTTCCCATTATAATGAAATTTTTTCTTACTGACGGACCTACCTAAGGCCAAGAGTGGGCATATGCCGCCACATTGGAGAAATTATATCATACTGCTTCATTTGATTACGCATTAATACAATAATATACATAATTGAACGACAGAAATAAACAAGGATTGATTGCATGTGTTAATATTATATGGCCCTCCCCTACGAGATATTTTTCAATGTGACCAGCACAAGATGGGGTACATCATGTGTCACTATACAAATGGTGAGATATGTGTGTTAAAAAATTAATAACTTAAAAATAAAAAAAATTCCCACCACTTACATAAAAATCCGTGATGTACCACCCGTGTTCCCGTCATAATAAAAATTTTCTCCTCCCCTACATTATTGCTCACCTACTATTATTTTCATTTTTCTCACTAGCGGACCTACTTAAGGCCATAAACTTTTGTTCAATGTTAAAGTAATTAATGTATAAAACTAATAAGTGAATCAAAATCAATATAGTCCCAGCCCCACACAATGCATATAAGCCCACTTGGAGGGCAAATTGGTAACGAACTCATCATTGATGAGATTCGAGTTTGGTTGCATTAGGATTGTATGGTTTAGAGAATTTAGAGGAAGATAGGTCTGGATTAGTGAAATCAACTGTGTTGGATCAAAGTCACCA